CCTGCCCCTCATCCTCGCTGTACCGCTCGAAGCAGCTATCATCGCTCGCGCCGCTCAGCTTAGGGATGATAGGCCCGTCGTGGCGACGCGCGTACACGTCGTCCCAGTTCACGGACGCGAAGAAGGGGTGCGACTTCACGTCCGCGGCGCCGCCGGAGAGGTTGCCCAGGCGGTGCGAGCGGTCGACTGTGCAGAGGGCGAGGATGAGATCCTGGGCGTCGCTCGAGATGGGGGGGTTGTGCGGGGGGAAGGTGATGGATTTGTGGATTATCCTGGTGTGGGTTAGCGTCGTGATCGAGGGGAGGGGGACGGGACGGAAACGCACTGTTTGTATATCTCCATCGGGTTCTGGTGCCAGAAGGGCGGATACCCAGTGATGAACTCGTACATCAGGATGCCGAGGGCCCACCAGTCAACGGCGGTCGAGTGGCCCTGGGACTGGATGACTTCGGGGGCGAGGTACTCGGGAGTTCCGCAGAGTGTGTATGTTTCCCCTATTTCCACAGGTTAGCAGCTGTTGACGACAACACTACGACTATATAGCCATCCGAGCGCCGACTGCGCCAACCCACCACCATAATAAGTATCCGCGTCCACCGTGCTTCGTGTCAACCGCCGCATGACCCGTTTTGAGGAAGAGAGAATAGGACGGTAAGGAAAGGAGGGCGTACTATCGCGCACGCGCTTCGCGAAGCCAAAATCGACGAGCTTGACGTGTCCCGCGGCGTCGAGGAGGATGTTCTCGGGCTTGAGATCGCGGTAGGCGACGCCCTCGCGCTCGTGCAGGAACTCGAGGATTAGGACGATCTCAGCGAGGTAGAAGCGTGAGACGTGTTCAGAGAAGCGGCGCTGGCGTCGCAGGTAGCTGAATATTTCGCCGCCAGGGCAGTAATCCAGCTGGGGAGGAAGGGAGTTAGCGATATGTGGGTATTGATGCGACCTGGGAATAGCAGCTTACAAGCATGTAAAGGCATTCCGAGTCCGTAAATGTAGTAATTAATGTAGTTATAAAGGGATAGCCGGCAACATCAGCTAGGATGGCCCGTTCGTGGTTGACATGATCGACTTGCTTGAGCTTGATTACTGTTGCACAATGTCAGCGTCGTCCGACGTGAGACCCCGCAAGGAGTCGCTGAAGCGCTGCTCACCCTCAGTTTTCCGTAGGACCTTCAATGCGAACACCCGATCCTCGGCTCCCTGCATTGGGTGCGCGAGTTTGACCAGCCAAACCCGCGCGAATGTCCCAGTCCCGAGGATCCTCAACAACTTGAAGTCCTGAAGACGCATCGTCTTGGAACTGCCACCGAGATGCTTCTCCAGTAAACCCTTGGTCAGATCGCCGGGCGGGCTCCGAGTGGCCGCATTGGACAAGAACATGTTGGCGACGGCGTCCTTTTTGCGGCTTGCATCGACCGAGTTGCTCGAGGAGATGGAAGATTTCTCGAAGAGAGCGGCGATGCCAGGGAAGCGGGCGCCAGTTTGTGTGATCGCGGCCGCAGCCATAATCGTGGCAACAACGTCGAGGTTGAGTTAGTGAGGGTCGATTAGCACCGACAAGGAATATGCCCTGTAAAAGACTCGCAGTTTTGGTGGGGTTGGTGGTGTCTGTGGTGTCGGTATCGGTGGGGCAAGTCGTAGAATTGGGATTTTTTAGTGGTTCTGGGTTAGGGGTGGGAAGGTTTCTGAAGAGTGGATTTGTTGACCCGTAGTGTGAATCCAAAGTGTATGCTTCGTAGAGTAGAGGAGTACTCTGTAAATCATCAGGGAGGAAGAGAATAGGAAGCCATCTGTATAACTGTATCGCGAGCGATAATAATGGAGGGGAGTATAGCAGTGAGAGGGAGAGGGAGAGGGAGAGAGAGAGAGAAGAGGGATGGTGGGGGAAATATAGGAGGACCGAGTAAGAGACCGAGCCGAGCGGGTGGGCAGGTAGGTAGATAGATAGGTAGTAGTTGGAAAGATGATGTTTGGGGAAATGGGGGGAATGGGGAAATGGAGAAGCGGTTACATCGTTACAGTGCATAAGTCTAGTAAAGTGGCAGTTATGTAGTACGCGTGCATATGGAGTAGAGTGGGAGTGGTAGTATGGACCATACTACTTACTCTTACTATACATGCATCCGTTGAACCAGTGAGACTCATCAGGGAATCGATCGTTGGGTCGTTTTGGAGGGATTTGGGCGGATGGATTTGCTCATCGGGTATACTAAAGTAGTACTTTAGGACTGATCGCTGTGGGATCTGTGGGATCTGTGGGATGATGGTTGACGGCGTTGACGGCGTTGGATTTCATGGTCAGATGACGTCGATGACGATTAGACACAGATCAGAAACAGGGAGACCGACGATACTGACACGACAATGAGACAACACGACGACGACAAGACTCGAAGGGTCCGACTAGTACCGTAGCCGCGAGACATGGAGTAGACATGTGCCATGAACGCACGTGGGGGATCTATAATGTTGCCATCCATCGTGCATAATCTTCATTAATTCATTAATTCATTAATCGTCAAACTGGTCCCCGGTCCTCCAATCTAGAAGCACGTTCCAGATCACGCTCCTACTATTGGGAAACAGTATCTAACAAATATATATATATATACATGTATCTTATCCAAATATACAAGCGATCGATCAGATTGATCTCATATGTATCCCCACGCACTCACATTTTACCACCTCACTTCTCATCTTCCGTGGCCCGGGCAGTTGTGACATGTGCAATCTCAGACGACGAGGTTGAGTCGTATTCAATCCTCTCGCTCCCCGTACGCCCCCTTATCTTCCTACGACTTGCAAGAGAAGGCATCGCGCCCTCGGTATTCCGACGCGGTCCATCCGAGACAAGGTTGTCGTCGTCAATTTCGGGGGTAACGGCTGCTACATCAGCATAGCTGCTGCCCAGAGACTTGGAGGCCGACTCTGTTGGGTTATGAGGGCGCCGCGCTCCCGGCCCGAGGGAGGCATGGCGCGCGGCACGGTACTTGGCGAAGTGCTCTTCAGTATGCCCAGAGTCAGAGAAACTCTCGAGGGCGTCTATGACGTGCGGGAAGACGAGAGTGTCGACATCGCGGGCCCACAGGAGATCGAGGTGCTCGAAGTGCGGGATTTCGGTGGCCACTGTGTGGGCGGGGAGCTGCTTCAGCATGACGTTAATGTCAACTAAGGAGTCGGAGCCGCCATAGACGAGGACGACGGGGGTCTTAATGTTGCGGGTTGGGAAGCGGGCAACCTTGGTATATTTGCTGACGCTGCCGAGGCGGAGTGGAGGTTGGACATCGTCGTCGTAGAGCTGGAAGGAGGCGGTGCGGATGATTTGGAACCAGTGGACGACACTCTTGGTGCTGGTGAAAGAGTAGAGATGGGGGTAGGCTGCGAGCTTCTGAGCCATGGAGATGTTTTTGCCGTACCAGCCGAAAAGGAAGGCCAGGGAGGTGTCGATGGCACGCACAAAAATTGGAGGGTACAGGATAGACTGCCACATCGTCGTTGAACTCAGAATAGAGCGACGGCCAAAAAGGAGGAACAGAACCTCGGGAGAAGCTTTCATCAGCGAGTCAACGACGCCGTTCCGTAATCCTGCTGGGGACATCGCCGGTGCGAGCGCTATGAATACGTTGACTTTGTCGTTCAATTTTGGGTGTATAGACAGTGTTGCAAAAGCCTGTGCTGTGCCTTGCGAGAATCCAATATATGACAGGGACGGTTGGTAGGTCGTAGAGAGGATGTAGTCGATACTATCTGGGATGTCATGAAAAGCAAATTCGTCCATTGAGAAATCCCAAAATGCCATTGCTGTCGGAGGGTGATGGATAGATTTCTTGGAATATTTGTTCCCACGGTTATTTCCAAACTATGAAACGGTCAGTAAATCCCACGACTATATCAACAGGTAGGATACGCATACCCAGACATCGTACCCCTTTTCCACAAGGTGGAATGGCAGACAGCGTTCTTCGTCGGTCAGACACACCCATACTTCGCTATTCATAAGCAGCCCATGATGTAAATATACCACGGGTTTTTTTATACCGCCTTTTGAGGAATTGACCTTGACACCCTCCTCTCCTCGTTTCCAGCCGAGTCTGTGGAGCCCAAGCAAGTATCCATCTGAAGTCTGCACTACATGCTCTTCCGCCAGGTAGCCTGACAGTGCGCATAAGTCGACAAAATCGGAAGCATCACGGATGGCGCTCGACCGGCCTGTAGTAATAATGTCAGTCTTATAATTACGAAGGGGGTATGGGGTACATACAACTTTGCCTGGACACCGACTTCTTTGCTGCTGTGGATGTAGAATAGTGGAATAGTCGTTTCGACGCTCGATAACACAGGGTTATTATACTCGTGGCTATAAAATATTAGCCATTGAGGACTTGTACAGGAGCGCCTGAGGAGGTATCCTACGCAGCGCAAGAGTGAGGACTCGAATAAGTGCTTCTAGCCCAACCAGAACGAAGGAGACGACGAGTGCTACGTACTCGCTCCTGTCCCCCTTATCAGCGCTTGTTCACCGATTCCCTCCACAGCCAGAAGACTTACAGGTTGAGCCTGGACACAAATGGTATGCGCCACATGCTGGTCCCAAACTTACACACACCAGAAGCTCAGCTCAGCTCAATTCATTGTTGGCGTCACGGTTCAGCTATGGCTTTATCACGTGCGAATCCTGCCTTGGTACCTTTTAGTCAGCCCGATTCGGGATCTAGGTCTCCGTGATAATGATAGAGATGGATTCGGAGAGGTAATTAGGAGTGCCGTTCCATAAAATAACATGAAGAATATAAAGGGCAGAGAACGAATGACAGGGGGGGTGGCAATGATGTTTTGAAGTCCAAAAAGCAAGTTTATGGCCCTGTAGCCGAAGCATGGGATTTACAAATGCCATTGTTAGTTGTTTAGTTGTCGTTGAAGGTCTATTGGTTACGATGAAGGTCTATTAGATTGCGTACGATGCTTAAGAGTCATACTTTGGGTGCCTATTATATCGATTAGCCCCCATAGCTCAGTTGGTAGAGCGCGGCACTAGTATCTGATCACGTGATCTGAAATGCCGAGGTCTACGGTTCAACTCCGTATGTGGGCACGTGACCAGCTCCAAATCGGAGCAAATTCTTTTTGTCAAATGAGGATTTTTTTTTGTTTTTTTTTTGTTTGTTAGCCTGAGTCAGGCGACTATCAATCAATACAACGACCTGATCTAATTGACACCGACAGTTGTTCTCGTTTTATTCCAAGCATGAAGAGGGCGGCTTGAATTCATCAGCAATCCTTATTTTTTGCCCCGCGTCATCATGGTGGAGTAGTTCCAGATAAGCGAGCAATTAAATCTGGGTGCTCATGGAGCTTGGCGTTTCTGACGCGTTCAGTTCAACTCAAACTCCAAGGCTCAATCCACAGCCGCGCCGTCAACTTCACATCGCATTCAATCGGCAGAACACAATACGCAGTATACCACACACAAAACAACCCCTACACACCATCCTTGTGCACGACCCTATTCTGCGATTATTTTGCAAGGCAACTCATCCAAAACCATCCAGTTTTCGACGTGCGATGCCTCCACGTTCTTTATCTCGTGGGCGCGAACCCATGCGCTCTCTTTCGCCTCGTCTGGACAATTCTCGCTCTCCACCACCCCTGCACCGGCGATCTATGTCACCCCGCCGCTCACGCTCCCCCTCATATGATCGAAATGGAGGCCGCAGAGCCACCAGGAGCATATCACGCAGCCCAAGTCCAGCTGTGAAAAGCACAAAGGTATGAAATCCGCACTTAGCTTTTATCTGCGCCCTACAATGCGCTGTCGCGTGCTACGAACGAAGTTGTTACTGACCAGTTCCAGATCGTAGTTGAGAGACTCACCAAGAACATAAATGAGAACCACCTCAGAGAGCTATTCGGGAGCTTCGGCGAGATTATCGATATGGATATGCCCATGAACAGACAATGTAAGTTGTGCCAGCTCCCAATAGGACCCTTCTAACCCGTACAGTCGGTACAAACCGTGGCACAGCTTACCTTTTATACGCGGTTGAAGCCGATGCCGACCAGGCCATTGCCCATATGCACGAGGCGCAATTGGATGGCGCTGTGATAAGCGTGTCTATTGTCATCCCGAGACGCAAGTTCTCACCAGCACCGCCACTGGCAAGACGGGGCGGCGCAAATATTGAACCACGGGCACGAATGGATGCTCGAGGCCCACCACCACCAAGGCGTCGATCGCCAAACAGAAATTACAACAGAGGTGCTCCGTCGGATACTTATCGACCACGGTCATTGTCCAGGTCTCGTTCGCCAAGGCCGCGCAGGAGCCATTCCAGAACCTACTCATCCAGGTCAAGATCCCCGAGGAGGCGCGGTGGGAGGCGAGATAATGAAGACCGTAATGGTAATGGGACTCGGAGGAGAAGTTCGAGTTACAGCAGCTACAGCAGCGATCGCAGTCGTAGCCGAAGCAGGGCACGGCCGGACAGGGAGAGAAGATAAAGATCGTTGGGAGAGGGTACAGCGTCATTTCACATAGCGAAGGAGTCCTGGGTCGTAATTATGGCAGTTTGGGGGATTTATGATTTCGATGGCACATGAAACGAATAATAATTCACCGGTGCATCCTCTGTGTGCTGCAGTTAGTTAGCTACTTCCATCAGAATTTGAAGGAAGGTCCAATGGTCGACCAGCCATTCGTGCCTGCCAACTGATGGTGCTTTCTGCAACTTTCAAACCTATTTCGTCTTTTTCCCATTCTCGAGTCAACTCTCCTTCGTCTTGATCTTTATCTTCATTCATTACGCAGCTCGTATACCTAAGTATCTCACACACAACTCTCCTATATTACTATATTACTATCTGTATCCTGTTCATATCGCCATTGGCAGGTTGCAACTTTACAATCCATTTCCTCAACGAACAAGGCCAAAGACGCAGTAACCTGCTTCCTCGCAGGTCTGAGAATAGGTCTAATGTCGACCGTTCACATTATTATCCACCCAAATCCTCATTCGGTACGTAATGCACACTGGCGCCGAATATCAGCCAGTTGTACAGCAAATCTAGATTCAAAGAGACCATGAAACTAAATCTCCACACAGGATAGCGACGCAGCGCTACCGCGTTTCACTTCGCTGGGAGAACAAGAAGCAGCAGACACTGTTGTACATATCATGACGAGAAACGCCACATCAAAGCCCGAAACTGGGACTGCCTTCCCTTCCAAATTGTCCAGAAGTTCAACCGCTGCACCGGTACTAGTAATAGCACCAGTACCATCTATCCCAGGCACCGACGGCCTTCAAGAAACTTATGTTACCCCAGTCGTGCGACATAAGGAAGAGGCTAAGACTGTGGAATTAACGCCATCGGATACCAGACCATCGGAGGCACCTGCTGCTAAGATATCTAAGCAGGTAGTGGAGTCTTCAGAAATCGAAACATCCCCTGTCGTTGCAGATGTTGAAGAGAGATCCCGTCCAAATGAGCCTCTTGGGGAAGCTTATGCTCAGGAAAAGTCCATAGGACTGCCTATTACCGAAGACATCCACACCAAAATCACACGCCCTTCAGCAATCATTCCATCATCAGCCGCCAAACCATACCAGACTGGTATTCAAGTCCCTTCGCAGAGTCGAATAACCGACGGCTTCCCTTACCCGCCCGGGCTGGCTGCTTATGAGATACTCGAGGAGGACTGGAATAAATTTACAGCTTACCTGACCTCACTTATTAGCCCCCAACGTAAGAAGAAGAAGAAGAAGACTCCAATTCGCATGGTCCTTCCGTTTAGTGGGCGTGGCGGGAGATCCGAGAAACTCGACTACCAAAAATCGCTTTCTAAGGTTTTCGAATATGTTCGGGCATCCCAGAATAATCTGTTTCGCCCTAAGGGTCTCCTTATGAGGGTCGATATACCAGAGGAAGGCCTCGGCATGGAGTTCATGGATCTATACCACGAAGGACATGTCGACCACTTATCCAACACATGGGGAATCGAGGCCAGAGAGGCAAATTCTGGACCCATCGATTTTACTGGGGAAGAAGTTGCAGCACACGCCAAAGTAGCTGGGACACCACTACAGCCTGACAAGGCCCAAATCAAGGCCAACAAGGTCCAAGCCAAGGCCAACAGGGTCCAAGACAAGACGCTTGAAAAAGCAAGAAAGCAACAACTAAAGGCTTTGGGTCACCTAAATAGCGCACAGAAGAAGATGTCACAACGTATCCGAATAGTTATTGAGCCTGTCACGGTCCTGGACAATGTAGAAAGGTCTGAGAAGAACGGGTGGACTGCTTGGATTCGCCATTGCGACAACTATGGCTCGCAGTTGACCAACTGATTCCAGCCAGGGCCATCATCCACGCATGGGAAGGGTTCAGCTTCACCGTTACCTGGAAAAAAGGGCTGGCAATACCGAGAGCAGATGGTGTCACGTTATCTCGTTACTTGTTGGGACTTGGTTCGTTGTTTGGAACTGTCCAAAGAGAATTGATCGGGGGGTCGAGCTGGTGCAAGAGCTTGAGATGGCGGGATTGGCAGCTCATAGAAAATTAGTACCAGCTTGTTCTCGGGTGTGTTGACCTAGAAGCCACAGATGGCGCTCTTGTTTGTCTGGCGCTTTAGGCATGTAGTCTAAAGCTATCACTTGAACATTTGTCAACGCGACAGTGATGAGATTCGTTTATAACTGTGACTACATCACATGTGGATTTGGTGCAAGTGACTAAATCGGAGAACGACACCAAAGAGAGGTAGACAAAGATGTTGGTGTAACTATATTTCTAGGGTGTCCTTGCTCGAGATGGGCAGGCTACAATATTAACTGTTCGCATGGTTTTACTAATCCTTCAGCCTTCCCATTCCCAGCCCGTCAAATAGTGGAAGCAAGAAGGTCTCGATTCTCTCACTCTCGACAAGGTCCTTGTTGAACCTATCCAGAGCGACCAACTGGTCGGCTCTTCCCCCCTTTTCAGTTGAAAGCTCTTCAGGGGTGGCATTTGGGTTTGAGGAGCTCCTGTCAGCGACAACACCACGGCGGAGGATATTATCCGCCATAATTGTGCCTCCAGACTTGAGAAGGCGGACTTTGCTAGTGGATGTTGAAAGTGAAAGGATGAGAGAGAGATAATTGGGATAGGATATCTTGTCTGCATCGATGAAGATCAGATCATACGGCTGGTCGATGGCCAGGGCCAGCTCAGGAATACTAGAAGTTGTCAGTCAAAATGTTTGTTATTATAGACGGGAGAAATAAATAAATCACCTCTTGTTCGCATCTCCAACGATAACCTCGACGTTCTTCACGCCATTCTTCTCGAACGTCTCACGTGCAATCTGGGCGTATTCCGGGTCAAACTCGAGAGTTGTAACGTGACCATCTGGGCCGACTGCTTCAGAAAATCCAAGGGCTGAGAAGCCGATGTAGCAACCAATCTCGAGTACTGATATAAGTTAGCACTGTCGTTCTTAAGACGGTCAAATTGGAATATCAAGATATCAACGCCAAAGTATGCTCCTGCGTGAGGAATACAGACTACGGATTGGTGGGACAGAGAGTGTGCGGCCCAAATACAAGATCCGCCAGGTTGTACGACAGGATATATTAGACGTGCATACTTCTCTTGGCCCCGAGTGCCTTTGCAAACCAGATCTGGAACTGGGTTTGGAAGGGCGAGATCATGAACCCGGCCTTTGGTTGGTCGGAACCCCAAGCATGATGCTTCGTGATGTAGTCTGGAAGCTTGGTGGAGTGCTCAAAGGCATAATCGGTAACCTTCTCGGAGACATGCTCATTTGGGTAGAGATGGGTGCCGTTGTCCTTCATTGTGGCGTATGACGAGACTCGAGATGGCAGATATAAAAAGATATATATGGATATTGTATAGATGTGAATAGATGTGAATAGATGTGAATAGATGTGAATAGATGTGAATAGATGTGAATAGATGTGAATAGATGTGAATAGATGTAGAATACTTTCTGGGTTGCTGAGATACAAAATATACAGAATATTACCGGATTTATATATAAAAGATCGATGTTGTCACTAAATCCTTGCAAATAGATATCTCATACATCGGGTCCCCTCG